CGTGTCGTGTCGTGTCGTGTCGTGTCGTGTCGTGTCGTGTCGTGTCGTGTCGTGTCGTGGCTCCTCCTCCCTCAGTCACCAGAGGGGAACTACCCTCCTGGCCTCCTGCCTGGGCTTATATGGGCCAGGCCCTGCCCCTTCCTGTCAGCTGGCTCCCCCTGGCAACCAGCACCTGTTACCCTGGTTGCCCTGGTAACTGACAGCTGGGCCTCCCCCTTCTTGCCACTAGGGGTCTCTCCCGAGCTGTTTTCTGCTCTCAGGCGCAGGGCACCTGAGTGCTCCAGGACAAGATGTCATGAAACCTACTACTGCTGACTATTAAGGGAGCAACTTTGTGAGTGATATTTTGTAGCTCGCTGACCCCCCTATTATTCCCAGCACACTATACTGGCAAGAGCAGGCCTTCTGGGTGTTGGCAGTCGTAGGTGGTATCTTCACCTTTTCTGTACCTGCCAGGAACCAATTTGTGGTTTTGAACCTGTTATATGCTGTTGAGATAAGACTAATACACACTTGTGGGCCTAGGGCACCCTATCTTGCATTTAACACACTTACAGGCTGCCATCACATGAAATAGCTACCATGTTATCAGCTCGTTGGGCCTGGCGTTGTATGGCATCAACAGATCGGTAGAGGCTGTGGTGGAACCATACACCCAGGACGGCTGCCACATGCAGGGGCAGTGATTCATAGATGTTAGGAGTTGGAAGGGACCTCACAAGATCATCAGGTCCAGCCCCTCCACACGTGGGCAGGAAAGATGACTGCCCATATTGCCCCAATCGCAGGGCATTGTGGCAATAGCTGTTTTCTGCCCTTGCACTAAGTCAGTGCCAGGCGGCTGCCCAGCTACAGCCACGCGGCTGGTTGCAGTGCAGTGCAGAAGGTAGACGAGTGACAGCGCTGCCTGCAAGGCCATGTCATGAGGGGAGCCCCACGTGCCAACCCCCATGTCCCCCATGCCAGGGCGGGGAGCGAGCCCGCTGCAGGCCCCCAAGCAGGGCAGGGGTACAACGGGCACATGGCGGCGGTGGAGGATGGTCCCGGCCGAGGCCGGGCCGCGCGATGCTCTACAGCCTAGCTCCCGTCGCTAGGCAACCGCCTCCCGAACCCCGCGGGGACCCGCGCCCGCCCTACCGTCACCCGCCGTCGCCAGCGCGCCTCCCATTGGCCGCCGGGCCGCGGTGCCCTGCTCCCATTGAGCGGCCGGGCCCTGCGCCACGCTGCCATTGGCGGGCCACCCTCTGGCCATGTACGTCACTTTCTCACCCCATTCCCCCACCGCCTTCCTCCCCGCTCGCCCAGTGGTGGCGCCGCGCCGCGGGGGCGGGCTTCGCGCAGCGCCGCGCTGATTGGGCGTCCGAGCTGCAGCTCACGGCTCCCGCGGCCGCCGGGACTGCGGGGCTGGTTTAAAGGTGCCTCGGCGGCTTTGCGGCTTCATCCCGGGGGCGGAGTGCACGTGCGGAGCGAACAGCAGCGGGACCAGGACCGGGAACCATCGCCTCGGACAGGTGCGGGGCGGTGCAGTGTACGTGGCCGTGGCGCTCAGAGCCGGAGCGCGTCCTCCTGCCAGGGGGTGTACGTGTGTTGGGGGGGGCGGGCGAGGGGTGCTCGGGGAGAGGCAAGGTGTCTGAGGGCGTCTCTCGCTGGAGGGGAACGAGTCCAGTCAAAGATCGCCGTAAGACATCCTGGTTGCAGAAGGGGCTCTTTAGGGAGGCTGCTCAAAAGCGTTAAAGCCGTCTTCTTGTAAGGCAAAAATGTTGTTTTGTGTTTTTGCTTGTTGTGTTTGGCAAATCATTCATTTCTCCTGCCCTGTGAGCGTTCCTTTCTTGTCCTTCCTTCTTTCATGCAGGAGGTTTTTCATTGCCTTTTCTAGTCTTCGGTGCATTATCTTTCTTGTGTAGCTGATGCATTTAAATAACTGAAAACAAAAAGCAAATCTGCAACACTGCTTATAAATTCACTGAGGGCTTCAGACAAATTGCAGCATTTGATGGAAAATCTTGCCACTGGCATCTTGCAACCATGGCAGGAATCATCGAGAGGGCTGCTGTGTATGGTGCGTCTCCTAGAGGCTTTTTAAAGAGACACGAAGTGAAGTCATTCCTCATTGCTTGTATTTTATGCAATCAGTTTTATGTTTTTATAATACCGACCTCTTGCTAACTATGCTCTCATTTTGGCTCTGGCTTCTACACATCAGCCATCTACTTCCCTTGGTAAAACTTGAGTAAGATTTGGACAAGAGGTCAAAACCCGTTCCTTTTCCCACCTCTTCAAACAGTTCCTTTGCTGTAACAATTAGCTTTCCTCGATATAGCTGGTGTCACTTGTCCTGGGTCAGGCATCTTGAATGATGTATGACTTGACATGAAAATGGCAAGGGAGCTGTTGTGAGTGATTTATGGTGAGTCGCCCATGATGTGGGTAGCGTCAGCAAGACATCATAGAAATAGTTTCCCTTACAACGTTTTTGCAGAGATGGAAACCCTGGCTAAACTAATAAAACACTTTAAAGATACTTGCTGTATGAAGTACATTTTTGAAGTAGAAGAGCTTATTAGATCTCAGAACTAGGGAACTTTAAATACCAGTTGGTTTAGTAGCACGGAAGAGGTAGGCCTTCAGAGCTGCTAATCCAGTGCAGTAGTAGTGCAGTCTCCTTTCATGCAGCCCTGGTTCAGCCCCTGGCAGCTAAATAGAACCTAATTATTTTTCATCAGGAATCCAAATCCTTTTGGATACTGAAGATCAAGCTTTCCTGAGAGCTAATATGGCTGTCAGCTTGGCAGAAGCCATTGCTTTACCAGTTGGTATGTCAGGCATCTTATGCATGATCTTAACAAGATCTGCATTAAGATGACATGAAGATGCCATGGGCTAGACCTAATAAATGACTTGGGCACCTACAAGTTAGGAGCTTGGACCACAGTGGCATCGACAGACCTGTGGTATGAACCTAGACTTACTATACAATACATGGAAAGAGTTGGGCTCTTCAAAAGGGATCCAAAACTGCTCAGCCGGCAGAACATGGAGCTGCTTAAAGCTCAGCCAGGCAGCTCTTAGAGCTTCCTACCAGCTAGCTGTAAAGGGTAGAGATGTATGAAATCCAGCATCTCTGTGGGGCTTAAGTGCCTCATTCTCTGGACTGCCAGAAGGTATATCTGTCAACTTGGTGTCATATCTCATGCAGAAACTACCATCCGTATCTTATAGAAAGGCAAGGGTTCCCACAGCTGGGGCTGGAACCTGGGACCCTCACTCTGACTCCTTTTTTTTTTTCCCCCCCAGTTGCCATCGCAGTTGGGCCTAGTGACTTTTTTTTCTGTCCAGTGGCACTGCTTCCACAGGAGGGCTGGAGAGTGCTCCCCCCAGAATAGCTGATGGGCTGGTGATTTGCAGCACAGGGAGAAGTGAGATGCAGGCCTGAACCACCTTTAGCCAGAAGAGGAAACTTTGGAGATGGATCTTCCAGTAACTTGTGTAGTGGTTACAACACTTGATTGTCAAAGCCTGGGCTCCAGATGGCAGTTAAGAGGGCATCAGTAACACCACTTTTTTTACATGGGGAATCTGATGCTGTGCACTAGAGCATGCTTACTGGCTTCAGTTCCTCAGGGGGCTTGGACAGAGTGATGCTTAATTTCTGGATCCTTTCTGGATTTAGGCATTAAGTAGATGCCAACTGGCTTAGCCCTGTCAAGATCGGGGTAGTTTTGTGCACATACAAAGGCACCTGAGGAACTTCTTAAAGTCTGACTAAAATACTGGATTTAAGCTTTCTGAGGGTTGGGCAGCAGCCAAGCAGAGGGGGTTGTGTTTTTAGTTGCGCTTCAGGACTAAGCACCTTGTTGGCACCCAAAACTCTGCAACCAACTCCAGTGTCTCCCTAAAAAGGAAACGCTACTTCTCTGCTTTTGTTTGTAATATGGCATAAATGTCCTACTACCCATTACTGTTGAGACCTAATTTCTTTTGAGTCTTCAGAACAAGAACTGACTGTCTTATTGTGCAAGCATCATTCAAACTACTGTAAATCTATAAATGCCCACCCTTCACTTAAAGAAAGCCGGGGTAGTTAGTTTAATCTAAGAGGTGAAAAGCTGCACTTGTCCTACCTACATACTAACCGTGCCTGTGAGGAAGCCTGGTTTTGCTCTGCGGTTGGCCTTGCATTCAAGTGAACCTCTCATGGGCACTGCAATGCGACTGTTCATCAGAGGAGTCTGAGTCTGGCCCTGTTGCAAAAGCCAACATGTGACCCAAGTATCTGCAGCCTGTTTTGCAAACACACTGTTCAAAGGCTGAATGAACCATGTGCATCTGAAGCCAGCTTTCTCCCTGTACATCCCCCTCACCCCTAGGCACTGTGCTTGGCAGCTTAAACTGTGATTCAGCTCCTGCAGAGACACCAGGCTGGACTGGGAGTCTGCAGCCCTCCTCTGTGTCGGGCAAAAAGGGCCCTGCCGAGGGTGGATGAAAACTGCCCAGAAACCAGTGCACTTTTCAAGCACTAATTTGATAGTTGCTCAGCTTTTACAGCAGGGCAGCCATCTTTATCCCGTGGTAATTTCTTTGCAAGTGCAAACTGGATAAAGTGACACGTGCATGCATGCCATAGTTACACTGCACAGTCAGTGCGAGGCCAACAAGGACACCGCTCCCCTCCATCCCTCACGGCTTGCAAGGGCGCTTCCAGCGGCGGAGGCTGAGCTGCCCAGGGGACCCCCGGCACCAGTCGGGCCCGTTTAAAGCTGACAATTGCCGCAACCCCCGGCCCCCACCCCGCCGCCAAGGAAGGCGCTGTCGGGGACTGGCGAGGCGGATGCTGCGTGCGCAGCCGGGCCGGTCAAGGTGACAGCAGGGTGGGGGCGGGGCGCGAGAGGCTGCCGCGCATGCGCACGGCGTCGGCCCGCGCGGCTCGGCGCGGTGCGGCGATGGGATTCCGCAGCGTGTGAGTGAACCCGCCGGGTCCCCGTACCCCTCGCCCCTCCCCCGGGGCCTCGCTCTGACCCGCCGCCCACAGGCTGTGTCCTGGGGCAGTTGTCTCCCGCCCGGGTGCGGCTGGTGGGGCCGGGCCGGGCCGCAGGGGCCGAGGGAGGCTCGGGTAAGAGGCTGCGTCAGAAGAGGGCGGGGAACAGCGGCCCTAAGCGTGGGGATCAATTTAATCCTTGAACTTAGGAACATAAATAAAATGAGCGGTGGGGTTTTTTGTTTTTAACTTCCGCCTGACGATATCAGGTCAACTTTAAAATGTTGCTGATTTCTGCTAATTATACCTTTCAAGAAAAGCTTAGAAGTAAATGACAAAGAAAAGGCGTTTAAAATGCTGGTGCTGAGAGGGGGTTATAGTTATAACTTTATTTAATTTTTTATTGGGCAAAAAAAGAGGAGCTGAAAGCTGAGTTCTCTGAGGCCATCCGGGTGGTTCACGTGTCATTTGCAAAACAGGTTTAATCCCAAAGACAAAAACCCCTATCTCATTTTAAAGAGGCTTTGATGGTATAAGATCTTTGTCTGAAACCCAGTAACTTAGTGTTAAAATGAAAAGTGATTTGGATTTCCATTACCTTAAGAAGGTATTAGAGGAAATTTTCTGCACATACCGAAAATAGGTGCCTGACTTGAAGGTAATTCAGTGATTTCAAAGGTCCAGACCCCGTGGAGCATGGTATGTTTGGGCACTTTAGCGTCCTTGTTTGTAGGAGTTCGAAGTACCAAGCAGCATTTTTAGTTACAAAGATAGAATGGGTAACTTGCATATCACTTTTGCATTTGAGGTTGTCCTCGTGGATAGAGCGCACTCATGTGGCCTTTGATTTGTGTCTGTGTCTGCTTAGATGAATGTTTTAAACATGAAACTTGGAGGGTTTTTAAAAAAAGACTATATAACATTTGAAAGTCAACTAATAGACAACAAACAGGTTTTTTTTAAAAAAAAAAAAGTGCGTCCATTATAAAGAAGGAAATAATGACTAAACATAAAAATAGAAAATCTTATTCAGATTAAAAATCATTTTTGTGTGTTGTTTATATTCATTCAGCATTTAAATGTGCATATGTCAATGGCATACGCCCCTAACAAAGATGAAAGCACTCCTGCTTGCTTTGAGAGGATAACATGTAGCAAACTGCTGGATGGAATGTATAGGAATTTAAAATGTGAAGTGGATGTCTAACGTGAATGTGCCCAGAACTCATTTTGTTGTTTTTTTTTTTTTTGTTTTGTTTTTTTTTCCCCCTTAAGTTCAAACAGCATGCCTGGGTCTCTTCCTGTAAATGCTGAAGCCTGTTGGCCAAAAGATGTTGGAATTGTTGCCCTGGAGATCTATTTCCCTTCTCAGTATGTTGACCAGGCAGAATTGGAAAAATTTGATGGTGTGGATGGTGGGAAATACACCATCGGCTTGGGCCAGTCGAAGATGGGTTTCTGCTCTGATAGAGAGGATATCAATTCTCTCTGCTTGACTGTGGTGCAGAAGCTCATGGAGAGGAATAGTCTCTCCTATGACTGCATTGGGCGATTGGAAGTTGGAACAGAGACAATCATTGACAAATCAAAATCTGTAAAGACTGTTCTGATGCAACTCTTTGAAGAATCTGGTAATACAGATGTAGAAGGGATCGACACAACGAATGCATGCTATGGAGGCACTGCTGCTGTCTTTAATGCTGTTAACTGGATTGAGTCCAGTTCTTGGGATGGTAAGTGTGCCTCTTGGCAATAATCAAGGATATAGCTTTCCAAGTATCCAAATAACTACAAAGTGATTATTTAACCGCGTCAAGTACACATTGCAAAGTGTGGGATTTACACACCAAGCCTTTCAACAAGCTGAGGTCTATTTATTAGTAGTGTTTTTGAGAATAACCTAAACAGGCACGTGCTGTTGCAAGATGGCTCATGTGGCTGATCTGTATCTCCACAGAAATGTAAATTTAGAATATACATTATAGGGATGGAAAGTGATACTGAGACAGATGCTCATTATCACTGACTGTTTCTTGCAAACCTGCATGGTATATTCCAAGAAGGGTAAAGTAGAAACAAACTTGAAAAACTCTCAATGTATTAAAAGATTCTTATTCCTGCAGCCATCTATTCTGTAAGGCAAAGCTATAAGAACTGCTGGCTGATATTACAGTATTGTATCCATGAGGTTCCTTTTCACAAGATTCCTGTTTCTCTTCTCTTACAGGGCGCTATGCACTTGTTGTTGCTGGAGACATAGCTGTATATGCCACTGGAAATGCTAGACCAACAGGTGGAGCTGGTGCTGTTGCCATGCTAGTTGGTCCAAATGCTCCTTTAATATTTGAGAGAGGTTAGTCTTAGCTGGAGAGATTTAAAACAAACACTATTTATAAGGATACTGAATTTTCTCTGAACTCAGAAGCGTGTGCCTGCTACTCCTGGATGCCTAGCCTTGAAGCTAGCATCTTCCCTGGCCTCCAGAGAGCTAGCTTCCTTCTTAGCCATGTTGTTACAATTCATACGTTCCATCTCTTGGCTCTGGGCTGGCTGCTTATTTCCCTCAGTGGAATTCAGCTCAGGTAGGATAAGGAGGTGCTTCTGCCTGCCTTCCCTTGGGGCTTGTTCCAGTGCAAAAAAAGAGCTGTACTGGTTAGGGTTTGTCAACATCACTTCTGTTTGCAAGAGGAGGCATTTTTGGGCATTCTTCAGCATTTCCAGCTCCCACTGAACTGGGGAGTGAGATCAGTTGTTATCAAAGCAGCATAAAAGTGCAGCGTGTTACCACCAGTAAGCTCTTCAGCCAGTCTCACTTTTTTCAGTTATTTGCAACTGACTTTGGGCGAGGTATATTTCACTAGGCATATGAAATGATGGAAGAAATTGATTCCTTTAATCTCTCATCAATTTATTTTAAAACAGGATTGCGTGGGACCCATATGCAGCATGCCTATGACTTTTACAAACCGGATATGGTGTCTGAATACCCTGTAGTTGATGGGAAACTGTCTATACAATGCTACCTCAGTGCATTGGATCGCTGCTATTCTGTTTACCGCAACAAGATCCGAGCTAAGTGGCAAAAGGGTATGTTTTTATTATCAAATCTTGCTTCCAGGCCTTGGTGATTATAAAATGGATCTGTCAGATCTTGGAGTGAGAATGTGATTTCTGATTGCCAGACACAAAATACAGGCATTTAACGTAAGGACTACTCCTAGATACATGCGTAAGAAGCCAGATTTTGCTCATTTCAGTTTGTTGTGGAGAAAAATTTTGGAAGTGCACATTTAGGGACTGTCTTGCTTTTGCCTTGAGGGTGAAGGTAACAAACCTTGGCAAAGCAGCAGCCTAGTTCTAATTTCCAGGGTGTGATACCTTGCTTTTAAGGGGTTGTGCGTGTTTATCTTGTGTTAATCTGTTCCTTAATTCTGAACTGCTGAAGTTTCGTTTTTTAGTAATTGTTCAGAATAAATGGATTCATTAAACCTGGTCTCATCTTCAAAACTATGCTGGTTTAGATACATATTTAACTACCTTCTTAGTCTGGTGCTTTCTGAGTACTGTTATTCTTAAATAATAGCTTGATTGCAAATGTTGCTTCAAAAATAGGAAATGTTTGCATTTGGCACACTTCAAAGGACTTCTGTAATGACTTCACTTTGAAACAAATTACTATATGTATAGTAACTGGTGAGCAGAGTTTAGGGCTTTGCAATCTGGCTTTTTTTTTTTTTTAATGTGAGCACTATCTATGTGTGGCAGTGTTAAGATTTTTGGACTTTTGTCCTATTCCAGAAGGAACTGACAGAGGCTTTACCTTGAATGACTTTGGATTCATGATCTTCCATTCGCCATACTGTAAACTTGTACAGAAATCTGTGGCCCGGCTGCTGTTGAATGACTTTCTTAGTGACCAGAATCCACAGACGACAAATAGTATCTATAATGGGCTGGAAGCTTTCAGGTGTGTTGCTGCTATCTGTTCTTTGAACTAAGGAAGAAAGAAGTATCTGTACCTGTTTTTCCTTCTTTCATCTGTGTACCAACATTTTCTAAATGCGTGGTTTTTTTTGTTTTTTTTTTTAATAGGGATGTAAAACTGGAAGATACATACTTTGACAGAGATGTAGAGAGAGCCTTTATGAAAGCTAGTTCTGAGATCTTTAATCAGAAAACTAAAGCTTCTCTGCTTGTGTCTAATCAGAATGGAAATATGTACACCCCCTCAGTCTATGGTTGCCTCACTTCTCTTCTAGCTCAGTAAGTATAGAGTCAGAAATATAAGAAGTTGTTAACTGTTAACGCCTGAAAACGTTTGGGAGGGTAACTTTTGGTCATAGCAGTCCAGCTGAAAACCCACTTGGCATGAAAATTAGAAGTGCACCAATTTTTATATTGGTCCAATATCAGATTGGTACCAATATAAAGAAAACTGGCTGAAGTGGCTGATAACTTGGTTGAAAAATGCCTGTGCATGTGTGCAGCCACAGTGCAGCATGCAAGCAGAGAGGAGTCGAGCCCAGCAGCGTGCAGATAGTAAGTACGTTGTGGTGAAAGGGGAAGGAGGAGAGAAGTGTGGGGGGCGCAAATCAAGGATCCCTGCAGTGACGGGGGAAGGTGCACTGCCCAGCTAGAGTGGGGTGGGGCACGGGACAGAGCTGTGGGTGGGGGGGCACCTCCCACTGTTGTGTGCGCCCTGGGAGGGCATGGGGCTGAGGCATGTTTTGCTGGATCAGCACAGGGCAGGGGCGGGCGGGCAGGCTAGACTCCAGAGCTGCACTGGCCACTTCTTGGCGGGGGTGGGCAGCGGCAGCACTAGGATGAGGCTATGAAGGGGGCTGCAGCTACCCCAAACTTCACCATAGCCCAGCCCACCATCCCTCCCCCCTGGTAGCACCACTTCCAGTGCCGCCACCACCCGCCTGGTGCAGCCCCGGCTCTTCCTGGCATGTGGGTGGAGGTGGGGGTTCAACCAGGGCTGTGCTGGGTGGGTGGCGGGGCTACAGCAAAATTTGGGGTGCCTGCCCCCCTCCCAGTGCTGCTACTGCCTGCCCTAAGCCCAGCCCCTGCCGAGAAGAGTCCAGCGCAGTCCCAGCTCCAGTCTGCAGCTGCAGCCTGCCCCGCCCTGCCATGCACAGATCCAGGGGCGCACAGATCCCTGCACTGCTTTCCCCACCCCCATGCCCTTGCAGGTGTATGCAGCAATGGGTGCTGCGCCACCCCTCCCCCCTTTGAGCTCCTGCTCTGGGCTGCCCCTCGGTGAGCATTGCCATTCTCCAATTGCCATTCTATTGGAGAACATTAAGATACCTCTGTGAGGTGGGGAATTTAATAAAAATGAGGGTGGGGTAGGAAAGAAAAGGGATTAAATGTTAGTTAACTTTCACTGTACAGTAATCCTTAATTACTGAAGCATGGAAACCTGCTTTAAACTCCTTGAAAGGCTTTGTTTTAATAGGCCCCAGCCCCTTATCTCCACTGTGTGGGGCGTTGATCTGCCCCCCCACACCCCTTCCCTCCCCTCTTTCTTTCCACTACACTGGACTTACCAGCTGGAGGTAGCTCTATTGGAAATCGGATCAGTATCAGCCGAGATGCCTCCTTAGGTATTGGCTGTTGGTATCAGTCCCAAAAATCTCTATCAGTGCACCCCTAATGAAAATCTTTTTGCTTTAATAAGCTGAAACACAGAAGCTCATTTTAGCCAAATGTTTTTTGTATGTATGCAGTTGTTGTAGGAAAGCAAGTTTCGTAGATGTTAGGGTCAGAAGGGATCTTTTAGATCATCAAGTCTGCCCCCCTGTCCTGGGCAGGAATGAGTACTGGGTTCAGATGACCCCAGCCAGGGGTCAGTCCTCTGCGTGCTAGGGCTGTCCTAATAGTTCCCTTGCACAAGGTGATTGTACTGGAACTTTACAATAAATTAATAATATGCTTGCATGGAGTATCCACATCAAATGGATCAGTACTTGGCCTCTTTGGGGGGGTGTTTCTGTGTGTTGAGGAATTGGCCAAACATTTTACACCATTCATGTAAAAAGACCTGAAAAGATGCTTGTGGTGGCTAAAGATTAGAAGACTTTTCCCTCTCACCATTTATGACAGGAGGACTGAGAAGGTGATTTACTATGATCAGCTTAATCCTTAGCATTTATTTTCTGTCAGCGTTTTTCTTCACAGACAAATCGCATCTAGACAGACTAAGAAGTCAAAGTAGCCTGAAAATTGGAAAAACCTTGCTTTAAACTCTAACATTTTGGGCATTAACTTATTTTGATTAAGTTGGTCTGAGTGTAACTGCAAGGTCTGGATTTGTTTTGAAGACTGCTGTTCATATCGCATGATGAATTGCCATAGCTCTGTGTGAAAGGTTTGGAAGAGTCCTGCCCCAAGACCTGTAGTTTAATGAGAGGGAATGCAGTGTGTAGATGCTTTACATTGATCACTTGTCCTGGCCGTAAGAGGCTGGGAAAGGTTCTGTTTTTCTGATGTTATAAGAACTCTGATTGTATGCAACCTGCCTTGATCCAGTAAGCTACATCATGGAAGCTAGATATCACTCAACTACTTTAAAACTGGCCCTTGATCTTGGCTTTTTCATTAACAACTGTTACTTGATTGTCAGGTTCTCCCCACAGCAGTTAGCTGGACAGAGGATTGGTGTGTTCTCCTATGGTTCTGGATTTGCTGCCACCTTGTACTCTATTAGAATTACACAGGATGCCACACCTGGTAAGTTAACTTGGATATAGTCAGTCTCTCTGTCTCTCCCTGATATACGTGGTTTTGCAGCAGACGGGCTAGCATTGATCGCACTAATTCTGCATTGTTAGGTGAGAATAAAACCCAAGATGCTGTTTTGCCATGTTTTAATCCTTAAAAGGCTAATTTCATAGCTCATTCTTTTAGCACATTGATTCAATTAGAGGACATACACTGAATGTCCTTCAGTGATTGTATAATCCAGAGAATAGCATATTCACATATTTTTGAAATGCAGCCACAGTCTTCAGAGCAGTTGTGTTGCCTGACTTAGAGGTTTTGTATTGCAGGTTCTTCTCTGGATAAAATAACTGCCAGCCTTTCTGATCTGCAAACAAGACTTGACTCACGAAAATGTATTGCACCAGATGTCTTTGCTGAAAACATGAAGATTAGGCAGGAAACTCATCACTTGGGTAAGAAGACTTTAAGTAAACATAATTCACATTGTGAGTAACAAAGTGAACTTCTGATCCTATAAATGAATCTGTCTAGGCCCCACTCATATTCAACTGCAGGATTGGGAGCTAGGAATAAAGGAAGTCCATATCTAATGCAAAACTAGAAAACTTAGGTCTTAATATGCTTTCCTAGCACAGATGAAGTGATGGCACATCCATGCATCTTGGTACACCTTGCTATTCTGGTATAGATGCAGTTTAGAAGGGGACAATAGAAAGATCTTTTATGATGTAACTTTTATTTTTATTAATACATTTAATGTTGTATTATCTACTGGCTTCTCTTTAGCCAACTATATTCCACAGTGTTCAGTAGATGATCTCTTTGAGGGGACATGGTACCTAGTGCGAGTGGATGAAAAACACCGAAGAACTTATGCACGGCGCCCATTGCTTGGTGATGGCCCTTTGGAAGCAGGAATTGATGTTGTCCATTCAGGAATTGTTCATGAAGTAAGAATGCTGCATTTCTTTAATACTTAAAGCAAGTGACCATAGCATTTGTGCAGGCTTGTTTGGTGCAAAGGAGGAACAGGAGTTGACAGGCTATGACCTGTTCTGTTAAAACAGAGGAAATAAGAGCCAGTAATGAAAAACGTAAACTTTAAAAATATATATATACGTATATCGGTGTAGAACAGAGCTTTTGGTGCAGGAGAAACTAGGCGTATTCTCACACTTAAAGTTTGCAGAAACAGCCAGTTAAACTTGGATCAGACTAACTATTATGCCATCAGTGTTTGGGATGAGAGAGGGCTGGGATTTGGGGAAGGAAGCATGTTATCCAAATGGAAATTCATTTGACACGAAAATCACATACATGATTTTTATTACGTTTGTTTCTTTGTTTTTTAGCATATCCCAAGCCCTGCTAAGAAAGTGCCAAGAATCCCTGCAGCAACAGAACCTGAAGGTGTTACTGTTGCCATTTCCAATGGAGAACATTAAGATACCTCTATGAGGTGGGGAATTAATAAAAATGAGGGTGGGGTGGGAAAGGAAAAGGGATTAAATATTAGTTAATTTTCACTGTACAGTAATCCTTAATTACTGGAGCATGGAAAACTGCTTTAAACTCCTTGAAAGGCTTTGTTTTAATGTGGTTTGCTGACACCTTCATGCAATGGTTTCATAACACTGAAGCATGAATGTATTGTGGAGTGGGGCATGCCAAGGGCTCTGAACTTGCTTGGTCTCTAAGAAAAATGGTTCTGAAATGGGTGAGAGTCTTGTACTTGTACCAAGGAAATGGGAATTCTGCCTTCAAAGCAGTTTGAGACTTTGAAGCAAAACTAAGGCCCCCTCCAAAGTCTGACCAAAAATAATTTTGGCCTGTAAGCTGCACTGTTTTAATGTTAGGGTGCTTGTGTTGCCTTGTCTGAATATTACACATTTTTAGCACCCAAAAAGGATAAGGGCTGCAGAGTCCTTGTTCAAGGTGCTGTTAATGGACTAGAGTTGCTTTCCAGTTAGTTCCGTCAGACGGATTCAGTTGTGATATTTTAAAAATCCATTATCATCCACATCCTGATATCCGTATTCCATCATTCTAATCGCACTATAGACCCTAGTACCACACACAACTTTACATAGCAGGTTTTGGCAGAACAGGGAGAAAAGGGCATCTGTTCAAAATAAAGGGTTTAATTTCCCATGTTATCTAACCAAGCTGGCACTTTTCTCAGGCATGTTGAATGCACTCTTCTAAAAGACTTAAGCATTTGAAACAACATAATTCTAGCATCCAATTCATAAATACTGTCAGAACCTATCTTAACTGGCAGACCAAGAAAGGAAAAAAAAATGACAATTTTTCCTTAACTTTGGTCTCTTGCTTTTCTTTGTGCGTGTATGAATTTTCTTACTGAATTGTGATTGGCTTCCTATTTCAAGCTCTTTATTTGTTATACAGCTATAAACTATTGCAGGAATACCATGATTTTCTTCAACTTGCAAGCTAAGACTTGTTTGGTATGCAAGGAGGAAACCTAAAAAGCTAATGAGGAGTCCATTTGGAGACTTTTGCAGGCCCAGACTGGAGGAGAACTCTGAGGCGAGCTTTGCTAGCTTGTAAAATATATTTAAACTGAGCTAATGGGTAGAACTAAGTCTTGTTAACTTTTATTTCACTGTCCAATTCTACCAAGGTTCATTGTCTAACACAACTTTGCAGAAATGATAAAATGTGTATCAAGATACAAAATGCAGACTTCTGGTGTAATGTAGTGTTTGTATAATCTATTGTATGTCTGTCACTTGTTCGGCTTTGATAACATTTTGGATTTGTACAGTTAAGAGTTGCTAAAATAGTATTGTTTTACTATGAACTCATGGAGGTCAGCGGCCTAAGATCTTCCACCAAAAGTGATGGAAGAATAATGCATGGAGATTTTATTGTGCAAGTGTTTGGGCTTTAAGTTTCATGAAAGCAAGTTAATGTGGTACAAGAAAATAAGTCTGTTCCAGAATAAAGTCCATTGCTGGCAATGGACAGTCTAAGAAGTACTGGCACAAAAATTAACCTCATAAACCTTGCTAACACTGAAGATTCTTTGTAAAATAAAGTTTTAGAGATATGGCACATGTTTGGATACTGAATTGTTCGGGACTTTTAAGCAGGCTAGGATAAGTGAAGGTTTAAAAGTACAAGTCCACAAGCTGGGGGTCTTCTGGTACCAAGTACCTTTTCTCTTAAGATAGTCCTGTTTATAAAGCTGAAGAGGCAAGTAAACAAATACGCAGATTCTAGGGTGTACTTTGCAGTATAGCAATCCTGCTTTTGAAAACCCAGCAATATATTTTCCCTGTTCCAGTCCTTTAGTTACCTTACCTGAAGGAATGATGGTTTCTGTGTGCCAGTGTGATTATTTTAAGAGTTCCATTTCACAGGTGTAAAGTCATTGGCGAAACATCTCTTCCATTTGCACTTAAACAGAGTGGTGGAAGGGCAAAAGGAAAATAGACCATATCTGGTGACAGCAGAAGGTTGGGCTATTCTATTCGTTCTGTCTTTTTATTTAGGGTCTTCAGAGTGCAGCCGTTTCATAACAGGGCGCAAAGTAACTGGATTAAATAAAGCAAGGAGGAATGTATTGGAGACTGCTGCCTAGGTACCAAAAAAAGTCCTGCTTGGGTATTTTTGTGGCTTGTAGTAGTTTGATATCAAAATAGTTTCAGGTTACTGTGCCTGCCTTTTGCTGAGATAGCAACTAATATTAGAAGCACTAGTCTGTGGTGCACTCATGTCTTAAAACGTGTTTGCTCAGGGCTTTTGCATTGCAGCAGCATTGGACTTCTTAGATGACGTGTTGAAGTAGGAAAATGTCAAGTGAGAGATGTCTGAAGTCAGTGTATGCTTGTAGTATCCCTTGTCTGTGGCTGGAGTAGGTTTGGGTAGCCAATAGTTTTCAGCTCAAGAAGCTTCAGATGTTTTACTAACACCTCATTCATTCAAGAGACCAGTAGATGGCAGTACAACTCATCATACAAGATGGTTTGTGACTGCTAAGGGCTACTTGCAAGGTATGAACTTGTGATGGGATTTGCTACAGCTAGATAAATCAGAAAGTGCTGAGGTTTTTCAAGGGTGTAGGTTTTTCAAAGTGCTGATCCTGGACTTAGGAGCACAAAGAGAGGGGGTGGAGGTAAGGGAGGTTGATAGCTCTGTTTATATCAGTCAAGGTATAAATGTTTAACAGTGAAGTCCTAATATACAGCTATTTATAAATTATGCTAGGGTTAAGTGCCCAGCTGTAGGTTCTTTACGAGTAAACATTCACCGCTGTTCAGATTTCTGATTTTTGTCTCTTCCTGTACAGTGGTGACCTGAACCTAAAGTAGCTACCCTTTTCCCCAGTGTAAAGTACAGATCTGCTTCATTTTTATTAAAAAACACCTTTGCTAAGCAATATTTAGTTCTTATACAGTCAGCTGGGCTATTTTTAAATGTGAACGGTCATGGGGACAAGATGCTGGCACAAATAAGTCTGTTAGAAGTCAGAGTAAGGATGCCTATCCTCTGGTGGGAATAACACATTTGCAAATAAAGGCATCATTTTCGGTTTATTTAAAAATTTAAAAAATGTAACAGCAGAATTTACTATGAAAAATGAGTAAAACCCCTCTGTTAAACACTAAATTAAAGCCTGCAACGCACTCTATAAAATAGAACACAGCTTGGACGTGTGTCTGAAGCCATGATATGACCCCCTTTTTAAGTCCTGCTCCTTGGGGTCTGGTTGTGTGACAAGGGGAACACACTCCAGTGCCCTCTTCTTTTGTACTCTGTGCAGAACTATTCTGTAGATACCAGTTATTGAGCTGCGAGCATCCCTTCCCCGGTTATTTTGAATATGTTCTTGTGTGATTCCCAACTCCTCTAAAATACTTTTCACTTCAGTTTCTTCCTCTTTGAGGGTATTGGTCTCTGATAAATACCTTGGATCCAGTTTAAATGGTTCCAGTGGTTGTGGATACCATATCCCTTGCATCCATTCACTGCTCATAATAAGTTGAATAGAGTATCGTTCAGTTGGCACTGGTTGAAGGACTCCTCGAATTAGTTTCTGGCAAGGTTCTGAAAGGGATGGGGGCAAACTGTACGTTCCATCAAGAATGCACTTCTTCAGTCTGGCCACTGTGTCTGCTCGAAATGGCATGGTACCAGTCATCATAAAATACAGGAGGATGCCTAGTGCCCAGATGTCTACATAAACACCAACGTAGTTTTCATCTTGGAAGAGTTCTGGAGCAGCATAAGGAGGAGAGCCACAGAAAGTGTTGAGAGTTTCTTCTCTCTTACTTATTGTGCTGAAGCCAAAGTCTCCCACTTTCACACAAGTATTACTGGTATAGAATACATTTTCTGCTTTCAAATCCCGGTGAATGATATTGTTCTCATGCTGTTGAACAAAGCAGGACAGTTCAGTATTAGTGTAGGTACAGGAAGGCTTTTCCCAGTTTTTCTTCTGTATGCCCTGAGGTACAGAAGTTGTTTGCCATGATAAAGACTTTGCCAGCAGTTACTGTACTGTGGGTCTCAGCTACTGTTGTCCTCCCCTCTCTGCAAATGTTAGGGCACCTTTAGCACCCAAAGAGGGGCAGGAAAATGCAGGTTTGCACAAACAAGCTTACTCTGCCCTGTACTTCCGTCACCACAGGGGAGGGGAAAAAACCTACTTGATCAATGAAACAGTGATAGGGTTGGGTGTGCTGGGTCAGTGCTCAGGGCAGGAAGAGGGGTGTACTGGCTGCCCCTGGACTCCTTCCTGATTTCCAGAAGTTTGAAATACCAGAACTCTCTTCCTTCCCAGTTCTCAGATGTTTATGTCACAGAGGAGGGAGGCTATTTCTGGTTGGAAAGGGCATGAGACAGTGCAGTCCAGCCTTAACTCTACATTAACTGAGGCTTTTGTCAGAAGCTACCAGGGTTTTTAATAGTAAGACAATGTGCTTTATAGGAGCTGCTTGATCATTCAGTCCTGTCTCTGGGCTCTGTTCCTCTGGAAACTTCAGCCCGTTTCTCTGGAACCTTTCATTCATCCATGAGGTCTACTAAACTGATTACAGTCATTAGAAAAACAACTTACCATGTGTTTCACAGCAGATACAACCTGAGAGAAGATTAGTTTACTTTCTATCTCTGGTAACTTTCCCTCTGTGCTGATCTTACTGAAGAGTTCCCCTCCTGCTGCATACTCCATCACCAGATGCAGCTTGGACAGTGTCTCCACCACTTCATACAGTCTGATGATGTTTGGGTGATGCAGCTTCTCCATGCTGGAAATCTCCCGGGACAGCAAGCGCTGAGTTTTCTGGTCTAACTTTGTCTTGTCCAGAATCTTAATAGCTACTTTTTCTGGAAAGAAGTATGACAAGTATCAGTTCATGCTACTGTTTCAAAACACTGCGTGTTCAGTCAGGTGTAAAGGCAAATCTCAACTCTTCTACATACTATTCACTTAATGTGGGTTACAGAAGAGCATCTAAGACCAGTCCCATCACATTCCACCCGCTCAGAGCCAAGGCCCTTACCTTTTTATTTCTTACGCTCTTCCAAGATGGCCAATGGGATGGTATAACTTCCCAAGGGGTTAAGTTAGCTACTTATCTAGACTACTGTTAACACCACAGTAGCACCACAGTGTGCTATAGTCTTGGCTGCTGGGAAGGAGTGTGAGGGAAGGCCTGCCTTATTCAAGTAGAAAAGGTTTGTGATATGATAAGGACGTGCTAAGTCAATATGTTTGCCATCTTTCCTCTCCTAGTCCCATTCCCCCAAACCATGCTTGATTACCACTACCAGTTACTGCTGCTGTCATGGTTTGTCCTTATTCAGTCTTCTGGTTTCCCAGTCTCCCCAGCCACGTTCACATAAACACTGGAGCAGCAGCCAGGACTCTTACCCATTACTGTAATTACTTGCCCATTGGGCATGTCCACACAGCTGAGGGCAGAGCCCCCTGAGCTAGCTCCAATACTGGAAGGAGCATAGCTATGTGATGCTCTACCCAGCTGGATAGGCTCTGGTTCTCACCAGGGTATAGCACTGCCCTAGTACCTGGTATGAGAGGCAGCTTAGCACTGTGTTGTGCCTTATACCATACCTACTGGGTGCATCTACATGTGGACTTTATTGCTGTTAACTGATTAGCTCTGGCATAAGATAGTACAGTTCCCAGCAGCACTATCTTACAGGGGAGTAATTAACTGATCAAACACTCATGTGGACAGTGACTACCAGGCACAAATTGCACTCAGCCCAACCAGCGAGGGGCCAGATCCTGGCTGTCTCAGCCCCTCTGCTGTTCACTGCTGCCACCTGAAGCCCAGGGCTGACACTCCTGTGCTCCCTGCCAGCCTGCGGCTGCTCCACCCTGGCTCTAGTTGCTGTGGTCTCAGGAGCACATGTAGACTCTGTGCATGAGAGCAGTTAACTCCAGTGTGAACTGCTCCAGAGTTTATTGCCTCACCTTAATAGCACATGTAGATGGACCCACTGTGAGCTCTTGTGCTTCATGCTGTGGAGAACACTGAAAAAAAAACTGGTCCAAGTCTTGTGTTTATATGCTATTTGTGTACAAAATATATTCATGGTGCTGAAGCTAATTTTCATGAGGAGGCAGAAGGAACAACAGAGGTCAGATCTACTTGTACATGAATCCAGCTTCTCTGTGCTTTCTGATGCAAAGCCACCTTTAAAAACCAGCATAACCAGGTTTACCCTGTGCCTACATGATGTACCTGGTGAAGTCAAGGAACAGTCTACTGACAATGTAACTATAACCTTGGTAGGTCTGCATCACCAGGATACCTCAAAGCAGGAGAAACAGTTTGTTCAGTGTCCTATATTTCTGTTTAAGCATTGGATTGTGACATCTTTGCATCACTACACTGAAAGCAATTGCATTCAAATAACTGACCCAGTCAAGGTAGGCTAATGGTACCTTTGCTTCATCAGAACAGTATGCTCTTCATATGTTCTCTAATCCAATTTCTCTTGCTGAAATGTAGGTGAACTCCACTACAAATGCAAGGCCAAACCAGAAAATCCACTTCAATTACTAGCGTATCAGTAGTA